ACCCTGTTATCAGCTGTGTGATACATCCACCTGTCTATACAGACCATCCTGTATATAGCGGCCATTCAAGATAACCCTGTTATCAGCTGTGTGATACATACACCTGTCTATAGCGGCCACTCTAGACAACCCTGTTATCAGCTGTGTGTTAAATTCACCTGTCTATACAGACCACCCTGTCTATAGCGGTCACTCTAGGCAACCCTGTTAACAGCAGTGTGATACATACACCTGTCTATACAGACCACCCTGACTATAGCGACCACTCTAGACAACCCTGTTATCAGCAGCCTGTCTATACAGACCACCCTGTCTATAGCGGTCACCTTAGGCAACCCTGTTATCATCAGTGTGTTACATTCACCTGTCTATACAAACCACCCTGTCTATAGCGGTCACCCTAAGCAAACCTTTTATCAGCAGTGTGATACATCCACCTGTCTATACAGACCACCCTGTCTATAGCGACCACTCTAGACAACCCTGTTATCAGCTATGTGATACATCCACCTGTCTATACAGACCACCCTGTCAATAGCGACCACCCAAGACAACGTTTTTAAAATATATTCGCACTCGGGTAAACCCCGGGCGTTGCCCGGGCCTTTCGTCTAGTATGTTTATAATGATCATTGAATTCTGAAAATTTATTTTGCAAATATTGAAACATTAACTCACATTATCTAGTATAGTTTATTAAATGCAAAGTTTTATATTGAATAAAATATATTCTAATTTTATAATTAATTATAAAACTTAATAGTATTTATACTTAATAGATGGCGCAAGCCATCAGCAACTTTCAGTTGCACGATAAGGAGATGCCTTTTTCTTAATTTATGCACCTTATCCCAGTACAATATTACATTTGTACTTTTATTCACATTGTGTAGCGTTCTCACGCAATTCTGGCCTTAACTACCCGTTACATTATTTTTCTGGATGCCTTAATGCCCAAATTATTGGTCGTTTAGGTACTGCTTGCACCACGCTGATGAGGGCCAACAGCCTGAAACGCGTCCGTGGTTAGCTTTTCTTGATTTATAAAGAATGGGTATTTGGCCAATTCTGGAATAATTAAAAATCAACGAGAATAGTTGATATTTATTCCGATAGATGGCGCAAGCCATCAGCAACTTTCAGTTGCACGATAAGGAGATGCCTTTTCCTTAACAAATATATATATTGAGTTATATATAGATGGACATTTTTGCAAGGAGAGAAAGATGATCTATAAATTTAAAGTTCGCCTCAAGATTCTGTATTATGTTTGAAATTTAAAATAAGTAAAACTATAATATCTTTCAATCTCTGTAATTATTCTTCGCCATTTTAAAACATCAAGATTGACAACTCCAATAATTTAGTATTATGAATAAAAAATTCAATTTTTCTAAATTACTCAATATTAGTATAAGAAGATAATTCAACACAATATTAAAATTTATTTTTTCCCAGAGAGTGAAGATAGATAATATTTTCTCAATATTACTCATTATAAATAGTCTTAGATGATATTGTGTTAAAGTTTTAAATCTTTCTGAACGCGGCTATGCATATTTGATGGGCGCATTGTTACCAAACTAATTAAAGATAACTTAGTGACGCCATTAGAAGCTACTCTGTGTGAAACAAATTGGTTGGTAGGATATAATGATGTGGTTGATGATCATTTCCATAACAACATCCTTAAGTGTCGTGGCTGGGTAGTTCTGACGTGGCTGGATTTCACTCAACTTCTCTGATAAAATAACTTGGCCCATTTGTTTACAATTTTTTGAGTATAACTTATATATTTAAAATATCATTATTACACCATAAAATGCACCTTATGCAACGGTGAATTTAGTCTCGATTTTCCACACTACATGTTCTACTGTACGGCAATGGAAGAAGAAAGAGAAATTATTCGTCAAGAGACCGGCTATAATAGCAATTCGCCTTATGTTTTAATGGCAAAAGTCGTAAAATCCATACCCTTTGCATTCGCTTTTTATAAATACTGGAAATCAGCTCAATCAAAATATTTAGCACAGACACCGGATCCAACTCGATAATTGGTCGAGGTCAATACCCAATATTTGTATATAACTACGATGCTAATTTGTTATTTATTTATTTTGTCCTACCGGGAGAATCCTGTATGGCACGTGTGCCCAATAAAGGCTTTTGTTGTTGATATCATTATTATTTATCCCTATCTCTCTATTGTTGAAAATAATAAACATATTTTAACGTTATTTTTCCGTTCAAATATATAATCAAATATTTTCTCTCTCTCTTAAGAAAAATAGCGTTAGATATATATTTATAATATTTTCATTAACCTATATATATTGGTTAATATAGAGCCATATATTTTATAAACAAACTTCCAACTAAAAAAATCATCTTTGTCTATATGTGTTGTGCTGCACTATAAACAGCATCACATTGTGTAAATTTTAATTCCTATTTTTATAAAAATAATTAAAGATAAAATAGAAATATACACGATAATTTTAATATTTTATCTATAAAAGCAAAGGTTGCCTTTCTCATCAGAATAAACGTCAATCTAGACGTGATCTAGTTTCCTGCTGGCAAAATTTCTATCTTTATCCTTTTAGTATGATACATTAACGCGCTATCTGTTATCAAAATTCGAAACTATTATAGACGTGTATGATTCTTTTTAAAAATAACAGTAAGGGTAGTAGAAATTGTTTATTTTTAAACAGAATCATGCGCGTCTATAATAGTTTCGATTTTTGATCCTTTTATATTTCAATAAGTATTCCCAAGTAAATATTTGCTTCTCTCAGTGAAACAAAAACAGACAACCAAGGTATACACAACCATAACATTCACACTTATAGATTCAAATCTAATAAAAACTAATCGTGAAAATAAGAAACAAATATTCAATCTAATCTTTAAAATATGTTAGAGAAAGCGCATATCAATAATTTATTCAGAAAGTTTACAAACTTTTGTCATAAAATTTAATCTGTTTTACGAATATTCTATAACCATTTGAAAGTTAAATGTAAATAGAATATTAATATTTAGATGATTTCTGACACAATTTACTCCATACCTTTCGCTTTACAATCTCAAATATATTGTATAATCATTTATTATCTTTAATATATTTTATCATTGTATATCATTAATGAAATAGATTTCTATTATAATAGTTAAATAGGTATTTGTGTGAGACAGTACATAAAAATAACTTTTTGAAAATAAATCCATAAATAAATATTTAATTAGAAAGATATATATTGGATCAAAAGACATTATGTGGCGCTGAGTTTGTTGTTGACACACATTAAAATGTTATAATACCTTGAAAAAAGTTGGCATTCAACCAACTGAAATATTCGTAAAATGAATGATGTTTTAATCCAATTAATACCTTTTTAATTAAAAACTAACTTTATAACATTAAATAAATAGTGAAGGAAAGAAAAAGAAAAAAAGGAAAGAATTTTTCATAACAGAATTTATATAACAAAGTGATATTACTGGTATATACTTATTCTGATTTTTATCAAGATGGCTGGCGTCGTATCGTGTTTGGGATGTAATACATACAATGAGCCACAATGTTCGATCGCGAATAAAATTATATTACTAGCGAATCTGATTTTTATCGTTTGATGCTCTGTGAATTAATTCTCCAGTGATCTAATCTAAGTGAAAGAAATCCAGCACTTAAACATAATGATACTGGCAGTAAAACAAAAGTTCTAATCAAACCAAATCTAATCAGAAGATTACGTTGGTAGCAAGTTGTGTCCAAAGCCATTACGTGGCCTCTCATAAGAGGACGATGTTATCGACGCCAATCTGATGGACAAGCCTAATCAGTGCTATTCTGGGACGCTAAATTGGACTCAGAGGATTCCAAATGGAGACTCTTTCCTCCATCCATTGGGCATAGCACCACCTGCCATTGTTCTATCTTCCATTTCTTACCTTCTTTCTTTCTTCTTCTTATCATCGGGATATCATCGTTTAATAGCCCCTTCCATCTATCAGTCATACGTCTTCTTGATTAATCTTTAGATACCTTCGTCGATTAGGAGTTAGCAAACCTTATTAGATCAGTGAAATACTTCGAATGTATAGGAATATTAATGCAAAACTAATGACATTTTATCTGCTATGTGTGAGAGAGATATAAAAATGAATTTTATTTATCTTGCTATAGAGAAAAGAATTTATTAAATTCTGTGGAAAGGGCAATTTATAAATTACTTAGTGGGTTTCTAATAATGATACAATCGATATTTTTCTCTAAAGCTAATATATGAGATTTTCTGCAGGTTAAAATTTGGACATTTCGGATTCAATTCAAAGTCCTCTTCAGTATAGTGGCGGAAATGATTTTGCATAATGCTATAGAAGAGGGTGGGAGAGTCAGGAAATCGACCGTATCTGCCACAAAGGTGATTTATCTGGTGAAGTGGTGAAGTCTATTGTATTCCAAAAATCCATTTGATACTGCGAAAAAAAGGCCATTCATATGCATTCAAAAGAGAAGGTGTCTTTTTGAAGATCAATAACCTTTTCCATCAATACTGCAATGCATACAGAGTGTACAAAAGTAACCAGATAAATATATATTGCGTAAAGGTGTTCATTTCAAGCCACCAGGTGTTGGATCACAGAACCAGAAAGATTTAGCAATAAACGACTGACACCCCTGGTTAGTCACTACAGGCAGGTGGGCAGACGTTACCGGATATCCGCTCTAATGAGTAGACACCCATACCATAATTAAATTAGAAAAATCATTGAATTTTACTCTGTTGTTACTAATTAAATCGATGCATGAAGTAAAGTACATTGTTATATATTGTAGAACGACATTTGAAAATTATCCCGCATGTGTTTCTTTTGAAGGAAAAATCGAAATTTATTTTAAGGAGAAATAAAGATTATTTCTAACCTTAAAGATGAGGTATGAAAGGATGAATTGTGAAGAGTAATAATAAACGGAAAAATAAAAGTGTCCAGGGATGGGAATCGAACCCACGCTTACAGGGCAGATGCTATGTCCACTAGGCTACCTTGGACATATTTTTCCGTTGGTAAATATTACACAAAGTAATTTTATAGTACAATATAATGCGTCTTATGATTGTATTATAAAATTACATTGTTATATATTGCAATTGTCAACTGTCCAGCATTTGAACTACAGCGATTCCAAACGGTTACACTTATTGGACTGCCCTCATTCAATGACACTGCCCTATTGAATCTACCAAGAAACAAACCGGCCTGGAAACACTTGGTGAACTGGTTCACTAAGGCTACCAGGGTAGACTCCTTAACCACAGGACAGCCTGGGTAGTTGGTGATCTATGGATACGCTCCAGGAGCCTAGGTTACTTTTATGTTACTACTACTGCAATTATCCTGAATTTTCACATCTTTGTTTTTTAAGAGCATAATTTTGAAATTAATATATTGTAAATGTATAAATATCTATTTAAAAACGATATTATATAAACAAATATAGTTTAAATCTATTTCTATAGCCCTTATATTGTAATGATTGAAAATTTAAAAGAGAGAAGTCATGGTTCATCAGTGGTGAACTCTCCCAGCGTTTTAACCATTATATATATTCAAAAGATGTAAGAACTAAATATCTCTCAAAATTGACAATTTATCAAATTAATTTACATATTACCATATCTATATATATAAAAATCAATGTTGTTATGTTTGTTTGTATGTCCGGTATACAAATTCGCAGTAGTTCACTAATTCAAACCAATATTTCCATACATAGGTAAAAAATACGGGAAAGACGATAGGCTATTTTAAAAAATATATTCTACTTAGCTCACGAACAGCGCCCTCTATCAAAGATTAGATTAAATTATGCTGATGCAAACAAATAGATAATGCTAATAACAAACAATTATAAAAAAAATCTTATCTAAATACAGGGTGATCCAAAAGTCCCGCACTATTTTAAAAATTAATAACTCCGCGAATATTTGCGCTAGAGCAATGCGGTAAACACCATTGTGTTCAGGATGCAATGGGATTTTTTATGGCAAATAATGAAAAATTCGAAATTGATTTTAGTTACAATTTTATTCGCCAGATGGCGCTCTACCAGAATCAGAGATTCAGCGGCCAAATTGTTTGATAAATTGAAAAATATAACTGATCGGCATGTATTTTTCCTTTTTGAATACCAGGAAAGAACCCTAATAATATCAAATAACAAATTAATAAAACACCACTTCGCCAAAAGTATGAAGAATTGGTTAACGATTTTCAAATACAATCAGAGATATGTAAAATAGGTAAATGCAAATTAAAACATGTAGCAAAAAGAAAATTGATATTTTAGATACGGTTTGTTTCCGAAGATAATAAATTTCTAATATTTTTAATTCAACTCTCACTCAGTATCGATTATATTATTATTTTAATTCATTTGAAAAATATGTATCTATCTCTGATAATTTATTTTACTCTGGAATGCCGTTGTTGTTGTCGTGTCCAATAAAGAGCCTCAGATGTATCCATGTATCTCCATCACAGCAGCAGCAATGTCCACTATCTTAGGTGTGTAAAGCTGCTGCTCAGGGTCTATGTCTAATTTTTGCAAGGCTGCGGCCATTGCTGGCTATAAGAATATGTGGGTAGGTGTAAGTTCCACACCAGGACAATTGTTGCATGCCCTATAGGTTCTTGTGCCATCTGGATGTATTGTCATTCCTTTATAGTGTTGTGTTCTAAGTCTTGTTATAGTTTTTGTCATTTTTCTCTCAAAGTTTATTTCGCATTTTGATCTTTTCTTATTTTTTCGTTTAATTATCTTGTATTTTGACAAAGAATCTGCGTCAAATAATGACATTTGTTCTTTCCTTTGGCTCAACTTTCTGGCTTCCTTTGCCAATTCGAATGCCATTTCATTACCCCTGATCCCAGCATGGGCAGGGATTCATTGTAGAATGCAGTTATTCTCCAATGGTTCCAGTCGGGTAAGTAACGAGTGTATTTTCTGTGTGATTTTAGTATTGCCCTTCTGAATTTCTTCTAGAGCGGATATGGAGTCGCTGTATATTAAAATTCCTTCTGCTTGATGCAGGGATGGTTGGTTAAGGCATACATCAAGGGCTTTCCAGATAGCTGTCAGTTCACAAGTGAAGTTTGACTAAATCATCCTGCTCCTTCTTTGATTTTGATGTTTGTTCCATCTTGCAGTATTATGTTAATTCCGGCCCCTCCATTACTCAGGGTAAGGTCTGAAGATCCATCTGTATATGCTGTTGAAGGGCGTGGCCTAGCAATTTAATCAAGAATTTGTACTATGAGGATATAGCCGTTATTATTACAAACACATTAGACCTCGAAGCCCAAGGTATCAAAGTCTACCTCAATCAAAACAAAGCCATCAACATATACAATATGTATGACCCTCCAAACAATACATTTATTGACGATGGAACAATGGCTCAATTTCTTACAGACAACACTATTATTGTAGGTGACCTTAATGCCAAACATCAACTTTGGGGATGTTCTACGCCAAACCCAAGAGGCAAAATACTATCAAACATATTTGACGACAATGCCTTAATGTGCTTAAATGATGGGAATCCTACCCATCATTCCTACAAGCTATAATACTGCACAAGCCCTTGATATAAGTTTTTACTATCCTGACATTTTCCACAAATGCAAATAGAAAATATTAAAAAGTTTTGGAAGTGATCATTTGCCTAATTTGATAGAAATTAGCACCAAGGCCAAAACTAGCTCAATTAAGAAAAATTCTGGAACTTCAAAAAGGCTAATATGATATCTTTCGAAAACACCATTATTAAAGCAGCCAAAGTTTCAATACCAAGAGGTAATATTAAGAAATGGATTCCAAATTATACACACCAGGCAAAAAATATTCAAAGACTTATAACTAAAAGAAATGAACTACAAAAAGGTGCACCCAAAACCAAAAATATTGTAGAACTGAACTGAACATTGTGATTGCAAAAATAAAAAAAGATTATGCGTAAATGTGAAAAGGGAAAAATGGAAACAAACTTGTGAAAACCTGAACCCAAGAAACCCAAATACAAAACTTTGGAATTGGGCAAAACAAATTGACAGAGTCCAGCCACAAACTGAAAACACAAATATGATTAAGAATACAGATGGTACACCAGCAACTAATGACAAAATTGCTGCCAATCTTTTAGGTAATTCATATCAAATAAGTAGTAAAATCAAGGTTGAAAAAAGGCCCGAAAGATTATTCATGACTGTGAAAAATGTCACCAGCACTCATAATATTTTCCATGAAAAAAAATCAATATGAAAGAGCTAGCTTATGCATTAGAAAACACTGACCTAAACAAGACTCCTGGGCCAGATGGAATCCATGGCCGAATGATATCAAACTTGGGCAAAATTGGCAAAGAAAGACTTCTTAATATTTTCAATAACTCCTGGAAAACTGGAAAATTGCCTCAAGACTGTAAAAATGCAACAATAATTCCCATTAAAAAACTTGACAAATCTGCTGATGACCCAAAAAACTACCGACCTATCTCCCTAACAAATATTTGCTGCAAATTAATGGAAAAAATTATACTCAGACGACTCACCTACCACCCCGACACAAGAAATCTCTTACCAGAAGAACAATATGGATTTAGGAAAGGACATGGGACAATAGACCAACTCTTATTTTTCACACAAAAGGTAAAAGATGCACAAAACGAAAAACCAACTAACCACACCATAGCTGCTTTTTAGACCTTACACAAGCTTTTGATAAGGTATGGAAAAACAAGTTAATTACAAAATTATACGAACATTTCAAAATTGATGGAAAAGCTATCACTTGGATAAATGATTCTCTTAAAAATATATAAATCAGGATCAAATATAATGGCACTCTATCTAAAACCTTCAAATTGTACCAAGGATTACCACAAGGATCAGTCCTTAGCCCAACTCTCTTCACCTTATTTATTGCAGGCATAGAAAAATAAATTTCACATAAAACCAATATTGGACTTTTCGCTGATGACATTATTCTATGGAGCAGCAGCACTAACTGGAAAAAAGCTGAAAGAGATTTAACAAGACTCTTCTCCACTTAGAAAAAATTGCTAATAAACATAAATTATAATTTAACCCCCAAAAATCTGAAACCTGTCTTTTTACTACCGATAAGAAACTATACAAAATAAGACCAAATATTATTCTGAAAGAACAACAATTGCAATATAATAAACATCCTAAATATCTCGGCTACACCCTGGATCCAGAAATCAACTCCAGTAAGCATATTGAAGGAGTTGTTAGAAAAGGAAGAGACCGACTAAAAATCTTGAAATATATTTCAGGAAGAGTGGGGAGATGAAGCAACAACAATAAAATTAACTTACACATCTCTAATGAGACCTATCCTGGAATATGGATATCAAATCTATGGTACAGCATCTGAAACAAATCTAAAATCACTGGAAAGGATACAACTAAGTGCAGCTAGAATTATTACAGGTCTTCGAAAACCCTGCCCTAATGATATTGTACTTTACGAGGCAGACATTATGCCCTTAAAGAATAGAATAAGCTACAATCTGCCAAAATATATAAACAAAATCAAGAGTTATGAAAACAAACACAGAACTTTCAATTACATACTTAATTGGGAATCCAATCTAAGACTCAAAAAAGAAGGCCCTCTCCACCTGGCCAAAAGAAATGGATTTTTAAAATATAAAGTGGAAAAATATTATTTAGCTGAAAAAATTATCTCCATGCGAACCACTAACAAAATGTTATTTTTAATGCCACTTTAAATGAAACCACCAACAGACAATACCAAAATCCACAGAATACTTAAAACAATTATCATTAGAAATAATTAATATATATAAAATTCCTAAAAATGCAATAACTATCTATACCGAAGGTAGCAGAGATGAGTTGGGACACACTGGCAGTGGCTCTCTCATTAAAACCACAAATGGCATTGAGAAAATAAACAGAAGAAACCCAGAATTTTGCTCAGTCTTCAGATCAGAACTTATAGC